TAATTATACCCAGTCGATCACATTCACACGTAATCAGCGCCAAATAAAGTAAAATCAAATCTAGTCATTTGTATAATATAATCCTTGGGTGACATTGTGGTCCATCTTACATACCAGTTGGTGGCGGCGACATAATAGCGGTAAAGCAAAAAATTTCTTGTTTGGAGCAAAATGGGGGCGGATGACATCATCGGCCAAAATGATAGCTTTTAATACCTCGAAAACAAAAGCTGCACAAACGACAGTTTTGACTGCACAAACCTGCACAAACGGAGCACTAACGAACTAGCCCACTTTGGTTTGTTTTGGCGCAAGATGGGGTGACGGTGACGTCATCGGCCAAAATTATAACTTTTAATATCTCGAAAACAAAAGCTGCACAAACGATAGTTTTGACTGCACAAACCTGCACAAACGGAGCACTAACGAACTAGCCCACTTTGGTTTGTTTTGGCGCAAGATGGGGTGACGGTGAACTCTAGATGACCTAAAAAATAATGTTTAATATCTCAAAGACGAAAGCTACACAAACGAAAATTTCAACGGCACAAACCTGCACAAACGGAGCACTAACGAACTAGCCCACTTTGGTTTGTTTTGGAGCGATATGGGGTGATGGTGAACTTTAGATGACCTAAAAAATAATTTTTAATATCTCAGAAACCAAAACTGCACAAACGACAATTTTTACGGCACAAACCTGCACAAACGGAGCACTAACCATTCTGACTATTTGATGAATTTTTTGACGTGGGTGGGGTGTCAGCTTCACTCAGCTTACAGACAATGGTAAGTAACAATAACGCGTCTCTTTCTCCGTTCCTGGTGCACAAAAGAGAGGTGACGCCCAGCTTTGACACCTAATGTCAACCTATAATTTAGACTCCTTAAATAACCACAGTCAGTTTGTTAAATGTAAGATAGGCTACTTAGGAAAACGTGTGCAAATGTTATAAGATGTGAAATGTTTGGGGTATAGATTCCTAATCATCAAAAAAGACAAATCAGACTGAGTTAATATGTTTTATAACATTTTCTTTTCTTTTTCTCAGGCTGATTTCTTGAAAGGACTTCCAGTTTACAATAAGAGCAACTTCAGCAGGTTTCATGCAGACTCGGTTTGTAAAGCATCTGTAAGTAGCACATTAACATTTTGCTTTTTTATCATGAGTAGAAGAGATTAGATGATTACTTGTATTGTTTTTGTTTTCAACTCTTAACTTTTGTAGATAATGATATAATAGGAATTGTTTTTCATCTCTGATGTATAAAAATAGGTCAGATATTTGACTTGAACTACTGTCTCATATGATCACGTTAATTTTATTTTATTTTTAATTAAGTTAGAACTAGATTAAACAATTAAATGAGCTCTCAGTGGCAGTGACACAGCTTAGGTTTGGAAAAAAGGTATTTGTTGAAATTGGCGAGTGTTTCATTTCCACAAACATCACCATTGTTGACATAGTTTTAGTCACTCTTGGTATTTACGTAGGTGAACAAACACACATGGTAGTTGGCTGCCGTTTACAATTTTTTTCTGTTTGCTAAATTTTAATTTGGACATAAATGAACCTTCGATATAAAGAGTAGGTACTTATTTTGCTTCCTAATTGTATGATTTTTGACATTGTAATGATTAGGAGGGATGCACCAATATGAAAAGTTCAGCCGATATCAGTTATAATTATTGCTGTTATGGCTTATATTATACATACGCACAAACGCACTTGGGTCTTTTCTTCTGTCAGTGTGCCCCAGGGTAGCTGTGGATACGATGTAGCTTATCATCATCAATGTGTAAATGTAAAACTGGATCGGCCTGATCACATGACTAAATCCGATTTTCAAAAAATGGCCATATCTGCCACCGATACTGATACTGAGTATCTGATCGGGACTTCCCTAGTTTTTCAGGTTATTTGGTTTATTAATTTCTGTTAAGACAAAACTCTGTACAAAAATGCTGGGAATTCACTTTAAATGGAAAAATATTCAGAAGCCTTCAGTTTTTAAAGAAGACACAATATTGCAATTTTACAGACACAAAAAAGGAAAATGAAAACTATGGTAAGAAAACTAATTGTAGAAATCTGTATGTTTTAAAAACATGATAATATCAGTTGAATGGGTTGCAGTGGCCCTGGTTTTTCTCTGTAACAGGAAGTCAACAATGTGATGATACACTGGGAGGAACAGAGTAGCCCTTTACTGTAAAAGAAACACGGTCGATGGATATTCTCTGATGGACTGATCAATCAGCTGATTGCGGTCCATCTCCTTTGTTGTTGAACCAAAGACTAAATAAAACAACTACAGAGTGCTGTAAAGAATCAAAAGCAGAAAATATTTTTTTGATTTTGTCGTTGGGTTTCAAACTACTGGAATCTACACGAAATTTGATTTTTTGAGATACAGAAAATAGTGTTTTATACAGTAAGGCTGCATTTTCTTAATCTTTATATTTGATGAGCATGAACCCAAAATGAAGCTAAAATTGACACTTTATATTTATTGCGTGTCAAAAAAGCTGTAATGTGCATGAGTTACATTTTTGTATTAAAGTAAGAATAGCAACACCTGTATAAATCCTCTAAAAGTGGACTCAGCTACAATTTCTAACCTGTTTTTGATTGTTTTGTACAGAATCGGCGGCCCTCTGTTTACCTTCCTACACGTGAATATCCCTCTGAACAGAGTGAGTACAGCAGAAAGCTGAAACTGTTTGAAGCAGTGATGCAGTCACTGTTGTATCAACCTTCACTTCGCTCGACAAGTCCTTTCTATTGTCTGTTACATAAATAAGACTCAGTGTTATTTTTAAATCTCATGTAAAAGAGAAGAGAGGCAGGGAGGAAACAGAAGAGTGGAGGGGGTGTAGGTCAGGTGCACATTTATTGACTTCAGTCAGGAGGGATTGTGTTACAGGTCTTCTGCTTTTTGAGTCAAAACTATTCAATTAGGACTGAACTACCTCTGATCAACCTTAAGCATAAATTATTAGTAATTTGTTGTCTGTTCTGCAGTTATTGTTACAGAGAAAACAAACATCCTCCTGCGTTACCTGCATCAGCAGTGGGACAAAAAGGTGAGCTTTAATTTCTGTTCAGTGTCACACACTGACAGTAAATCATTTATTACTCTTTATTAGCTTTTAAATCATGTACCCAGTCAAGATAATCTTAGTTTTGTGTAGAAGTTGGATTGTCATCAAAATAAATAGTGATTGTGGTGGAACCTCTTTTTTTTTTTTCAAACAGAATGCAGCAAAGAAAAGGGAACAAGAACAAGGTGAAGGTGACAGCCCGGCACCCCCGAGGAAGATCGCAAGGACAGACAGCCAAGAGATGAATGAGGATTCATAAAAATGTGTGTGTGTGTGTGTGTGTGTGTGTGTGTGTGTGTGTGTGTGTGTGTGTGTGTGTGTGTGTGTGTG